TTTCAAAACCAAAACCCAAGATGGAAGTATACAGATTATTCAAAATGCTTATCAAGATATTGTGCCAACCAAGTCTATGAAAATCAAGAGCTTTATATCTAGTTTGATTAATGAGCTGCATTCATTGACTCCTCTATTATTATCGCCAAAGCCTTTTGCATTAATAGGCAATCTCTCGAAATACTCATGTAAATATAGTGTAAGTGTACCTGAGATTAAAAACCTTTGGAGCGATCAATCAAATATGCTTAGTATTTCTAGCAGAACTAGTTTGGGCCATGTTGCTGATGCATATTTCAATTCTGTGCGAAGGGGATAGACTTATTATCCTTCGATTAAATAATAGCATAAATTTATTTATCTTTATAACCTATTTATATATAATTATTATTAGATCATGTATTCGATTTTTTTAATAGTTGACCACTATTTTCCTAATGCTATTCTTGAGATCACAATTGGGTAATATATATTTTTTTATTTATTTACTTCTGACGCAGGTAGTAAAGTGTCAACATGAAATAAAAATTTATTTGCAAATACTTAAATTATATGCTATCAACTCTATCTATATATTTAGTGACCAGCATTAAATCTTGTATTTCACTGGTAAACCTCTTTTCATGGGTTCTAAATCTTAAATAAGTTAAAATATATATGAATACTGGGTTTGAAAAAATAGTTATAAATAATTTCTAATATAACATTTATATTTACTGAGATAGTTTTGTCTTGAATTTTTAATTTTTGGTAATTGAAAACCTGACTTTAAAGATTTAGAATACTTCCTATCCCATATTACAAGCTTTTTTGATGTCTTTGCTTTTTTATTATTATCATCAATACCTATTTTCATATTATCTTCCGAATCTGAATTGCTAAATAAGGAGCCAAATTTTCTATTTTGCTTGATTATTGTTGAGTGAACGAAAAAAACGATACTATGTCGTACACCAGAAAGAACTGGTAGATTTCCATGAACCAGGATATTGGATCGAAAGGCAACTATTTGGCTCTGTTTAACATGAAAAGCTAATTTAAGCTCAGAAAATACCAATTGCCTACCCTCAAATACTCCAAGTGGGCACACTATACAAAGTGAATTGCAGTGGTCTTTTAGATCCCGATGGAACTGGCAAATAGCATTAAAGTTAATTGCCATAGTAGGGAAGATCCCAAATGACTTAGGAACATTTAGACCAAGATCTAGTTTTTTCATTTTCGTGTATAGGATTGGATATGCTTCCCGAAAATAATTATCAATAGCATTGGATAATGGTTGGAGGCCTTAGTCAAATACTGATCAACTGATCAACCGTATGACTACAGGAGCGACCATTGATATTACACGACTAATCCTTCACCCGGTGTGCAACATATAAAAAAACTATTTTACAATACCAGATCATTCCGACAGTACATGTTATGATTA